CATCTCATCAGGAGGACCACAGTATATAAGCTGTCTTCAGACCTTGCCTCGACGCCGCAGTGTTTAATCAGTTTGGTTAGCACCTAAGCCTAGAACCTCCAGAGAACTTTGCTATCTCTGAGTCCAGTTTGGATTCTAACCTTTTTTGTCTTTGCTTCCAGGTTACCTGTTTTTCTCCTGTGAAGCTCTGGAAGAGCTTAACCTGCCGAGCCTGCCCTCTGAGCCTTACCTGAAGACTCTCTTCTGGATTTCCAAGCAGCTCTGGACTTAGAGCTGGAACTCAAACCAAGGTCTACACCCTCACTAGAAGTAAGACGCTGAAACAGTTATTGGACTCTGCTGAACCAAACCATCTCCGGACCCAACAGTTCCTCTCCCAAAGTCTCATCTACGCTTCTCAAGGTACAGACCAGAAACCCTCAAGATCAATTGCAACCATGCCAACGCTAACTGAACTGTCTCCCTCACAGACTCCAGTGAACCAGTCCCCAGGCCTGAACCAGCAAACTGTACATTTACTACGTGCTTGTGTAACAATAAACTTGTTAACTTTTCTTCTGAGTCCGTTGTGTTCTGCATCTTGGGCCTCTCAGTAAACCCATCATGACAAACAGTGCTTCCGCTCTGAGTTTTTCACCCGCACTCAAAAAAATAACAGGAATGGGAGTGGTGCAGGAGTTGGAGTCATTCTTCATGGGAGCGGGATGGGAGTGGGAGTAAATTCAACAGGAGTGGGACGGGACAGGATTTAGATTTCTACTCTGGCCCGGGATCGGGACGGGACACCATTTTTTTCTGTGGGAGTGGGACGGGACAGGAGTGTTTTCAGTCATTACAGTATAGCTAGTTCTGAATAGTGGAGGAACGTCTTTAGTAGGGGTGGAACGGTTCACAAAATCCACGGTTCGGTTTGGTTCATGGTTTCGTGGTCATGGTTTTCGGTTCGTTTTGGTTCGGTATATGTTTATTGTTACACCAAAAAATAAAAAAAATTATAAAAAATTAATGAATTTTTTAAATGAAATTAATGAAAAATCCCAAAAAATTTATGAATTGTAATTATTTTTAATGATTTCACAGAAACCCTGGATCATTTCCTCATATTTTGCTGCTTTGAATTTAATCATCTGGCGCATGCTCTCTACCATCTCCAAGGGACTCAGAGCGGAGCAGAGGAGCCACAGTGGAGGCTGTAGGCTTTGCTCTGAGCAGCCGGTTTGGAGCGCAGCGGGGCGGAGCGCTGACGGAGTATGAGGGATTTCAGGGTTAGCATGACATGTTGGTCATGTTGCTGTTAGCATAAACAAAACTTGTTGCACAATGCTTGCACACTGTTGCACTTTTATCATCAACTTTCTTTCCGCCGTCATCGTAGGTCACTCTAAATGCAAAGCGTTCCCATACAGCAGACCTATAAAGTGCTGCTGGCGCGTCTTCCAACTCCTGTTCTTTCCCACTCGCCATACCCACACAATTCTCCACAACAACTGATTTATTTCTGCTACACCCGGCTACGCTGCTTCGCTTCTTCTTCTTCTTGTTTACTACTGGTGGTTGGCTTTGGTCGCAGTACCGCCACCTTCTGCTCTGGAGTGTAAACACTTTGCCTATGAGAAAAAGAAGCAGCGCATGAACCGAACCGAGACAGTCAAACCGAACGGTTCGGACGGTTTTCATAAACCGTTCCATCCCTAGTATTTAGAACTAAATTTGAATAGATAATGAAGAGAACAATGAACAGAAAGGTGAAAAACAAAAAGGGATTTTAACCTAAAAGATAAGATGATAAATTGCCAGAAGCTGGACCATCAAAGAGGAAGTCCCAGAACAAACATTGGAGATAAAATAAATAGGGAGCAAAGATCCAGAGTTAATCCGCCAATGAATTACATGATATTTGACCCAAAGGACGGCTAAAATAATAATGGGATAACATTCATAGTGTGAGGATGAAGGAGAAACTGATTCTTTCTGAAGAGACCTAAATTATTTTGGTCATTTTGCTGCAAACCAGAAGCTTCTTAATAACCTTTAAATGAAATAATCATTGAATGATTTAACTTTACTTAATTTCTAATACAGCATGAATAAAGTTCAGACAACCAAGTAAATGATAAATGGACTTTACCAAACCATTAACACTACATTCAGTCATTCGCACACACTGATTATTGTAACTAGCTTCATTATAGCCACAGCTGCCCTGAGGCTCCCTGACAGAAGTAAGGCTGCTGTACACAGGCGCCACCTCTGACCTCCATCAGTAGGCAATGCAGATGAAGTGAAGGAAACAAACACATTGAAAGCTTAAACTTGTTCTAAAAACAAAAAAGTTGATCAGGTTTGGTTTCGGTGTTTTTCATCATCCTGATATTTAAATATTGCGTCTACGGTCCTCCCAGTATCTTAGAAGTGATCCACAGTGATAGTGAAATCCTCTAAAGGGACAACTGTCAGACAGAAATAAACTTCAACCCTTTTATAAGCCAAGCAGAGAAAATGTTACAGAAATCAGTACCGAGGTTCTTTCCAGATAACAACACATTAGCACTGGGAACAAAGAACATTACATGTTTTTATAGATTATAAGAATTATTCTTCACAGATCTGAGAGGAGAAACAGTCTGAGATCAGAGCAGAGAAAGACCCCCACTGTCAGAGGAATTCAAGAATCAAAGCAGACAGAACAGATGAAGTGAGGAAGATGATGTCACTGCATCTCTGTGACACGTTTCCTCTGTTTGTCATCACTCTAAAATGGAGCTGAAAGCAGGAAGAATGAAGGACTTTGAAAAATGTGTTTGATCCACTAACAAGCTGCTGGAAGCCTTTTGCTCTATTGTTCATTGACACCTTCTAGCTCCACTAGAGGGCGCCATCATCCAGTAGGCGGAGCTCTCCTTGTGCTCTGTGTTCCAGCATTGTGTCAATAATAAGTGTTGCTGTGAAGAGAACAATAGTCAGACTGAATGTTGAACATCAGCTAGTTTCTCCTGCTGATTTAAACCTTGTTGGACAGATGGAACATTGGCTGTGGATTATTCTAGCTGCTCTTTTCTTTGGTAAGATAGAAAGCTCAACATGTTTCCTCTTCAAACACTTGAACACATTACTGAGCTCTACATGAAGAGCTTTAATGTTCATTCTACAGAAAATCAGAGCAGATCATTTCTGCTGCCATTTGTTACCTTGTAGAAACACCTGATATGGTTCAAAGTGACAATGATCAGAGAAAATGACATCTATTCTACATGGAATAGAAGTCTTTAAAGCTGCTGATTGTTCTCCTTTAATCAATCATCTTTATTGATTCATCTCTTCCTCTGCATGTTCTGTTCTTCCTCAGAGTGTAAAGGAGACTCAGTGACGCAGACAGAAGGACATGTTGCTGCTGCTCAAGGAGAATCTGTGACTCTGGGATGTATATTTGAAACCAGTGGCTCTCAAAGACTATTCTGGTATAAACAAGAAGAAAACAGCTTCCCAAAGTTCATGCTGAAACAAATTACATCAACGAAAGAAAAAGCTCCAGAGTTCAACAAGGAAAGATTTGAAGCTGACATCAACGGTGACAAGAAATCCTTTAATCTGACGATCCAGGATTTCCATCTGTCAGACTCTGCTGTGTACTACTGTGCTCTGCAGCCCACAGTGACAGGAAACACTATAACTCTGTACAAAAACCTGCAATACTCCAACACATCCACCAGATGGTGTATATAATTTCATTTTCTGTAAAAGTTCCACAATTATCACCCACAGTATATATGTATATATATATATATATATATATATATATATATATATATATACATATATATGTATACATATATATGGCATGCCGTTTAGGATAAAATAAAATACTCAAATACATTGTTCTTTTAAGATCTTTAATGTGATTTGAAACATATTATATGAGTGTATTTTACTAATAAACTAATGAACTATACACAGTTATTAACATAGTAATTAAAAGTACCACTGGTTGCTTTGCTCTTGGTGTCGTGTTTAAACAGCTCACCATTATGTTTAAATCTGACACCTGTTGGGGTATAAATAAGGTCAGGTCAGTCACTTCAGTATCAGGTGGGTTTAAGAGGAATTTCCTTCACCATCACATGTACAAAGAGACCACCTTGTCTACAGTTGTGTAGGGGGCCAACCAGGTGACAGTGATGGGGCCCCTGAGAGGCTGTCAGCCCATAAGCCACTGCTGTCTCTGCTTACCGATAGTTACACCACTGAATATAACTGAGGGACTGAATAGAAGTGACTGGAGTTTGGTCAGATATTATTACGGGAAATGAGTCTCCAGCCATAAGCTATTGGAGGAAAGAGTCCTGATGGGAAACTTGAATCCACACATAGCTGCACTGACAGCTGCTGGACCCGACCCATTTGAAATGTTCTGAGCTCCCATGCAGGCCCCAGCATCCATCATTTTGGCTGAGGAGTCAGCCTTGGCTGGATCCTGCTTCAGTCAGGTGTCCTGATGGGTCCCTCTGCTCTACTGCTTCATAATCTGCTGCTAGAGCTGTTTTCCATCCATGCAGTCCAGACCCAAGCTCCGTCTTCCTCTAATAGCAGGTAGAAAACCCAGTAAAGCCTTTTTCTCCTGTCAGCTCACAGTTAGCCATGTTTTCTTAGTGAATCTATCTCTGCTAAATTCACTAGTTTTTATCCTAAGTTGCATTGATTCCTCTATTCTCTGACCAATAGCTTGATTTTTGGTTTCTCCTCTAAGCTCAGAGTTTACAACCAATCTGTCAGCAAGAAATCCTCTTAGTCCATCTTTTTCTTCCAGGATCCAGTTTGGAGACAAGAAAAGCAGCCACTTCTCCCCGTTGATTTTTCTAATTCAATCTGGATTGATCAGCTATTCTAAAATATATAGAAATGTTTTTTTTGTTTTTTTTTTTATTAAAACTGTGAGGATGAAAAAAATTCTTCCACTAACTTCTCAATGTAAAACAAACAAACAAAAAAACATCTACCAGAAGCAGAGAAGCTGTGAGTCTGTTCAGCAGGAGGAAGAGGAGCTGAGAGCTTCAGGGAGGAGCTGAGCTGTTACTGAACTATAGAAGAGACACAAACTTCCACATTCAACACAGTTCAAACATTAACTCTGATCATCATGGACTATTATGGACTTTCTCTGCTGGTCGCCTCACTGCTAACAGGTCAAATTCTAGATGTTTCAAATGTTTTTGTTCTGATATATCGAACATTTTTCTGAATCAAAAACTAAGACTCCTTTTTCTTCAGGAATCCGCTGTGAAGGACTGACTGCGGTTAAAACAGAGATCTCCAGCTTAGAGGGCAGCTCTGTCACTCTGTCCTATAATTATCCCAACCTGCAAACTGGAGATTATTTCTTCTGGTACCGTCAGTATCCAGGAGAAGCTCCAGAGCTTCTGATCTCTCACTCTCCTACAGGAGTTGAAGGAATTAAAAATGTTCCTGAACTGAAGATTAAAGTGAACAAACCCCAGATGGACCTGCTGATCTCCTCTGCTGCAGTGACAGACTCTGCTGTGTACTACTGTGCTGTGCAGCCCACAGTGACAGGAAACACCAGAACTCTGTACAAGAACCTGCAATCCTCCACAGCATCCACTAGAGGGCCTCACACACTGTTAAACCACTGATTCACAGGGCTGATGAAAGAGGCCCTCTCACTACAGTCATGAGTTTTGAGAATGACACAAATATTATATTTCCAGATGATCTGCTGCCCTCTGGTTTTCATATGTGTTTGTCAGATGATGTCATCACATACAGAAATACAATTGCAACCATTTTATGAGTAACAAAAGCTTTTAATGACAGTTAGAATGAGTTATTGCAACAAGTCAATATTTGCAGTGTTGACCGCTTTCCTTCAGGACCTCTGCAATTCTCCCTGGCTGCTCTCAATCAACTTATGGACCAAATCCTGACTGATAGCAGTCCATTCTTGAACAATCAATGCTTGCATTTTGTCAGAATTCCTAGGTTTTTTTGTGTCCATCCGTCTCTTGATGATTGACCACAAGTTTTCAATGTGATTAAAGGAATAGTACACCCAAAACATGATTAGCCTTCATTTTCTACTCACCCCTATGCTGAACAACACTCCGGAGTACTTTTTTGATATCTCAAATGCATCTGGAGATCTGGGAGGCTTCTTGCTGTCTGCTGACATTCAAATAATGGAGGTGCCCAGCGCCCGAGGCAGAAAGGTCCATAAAAGTCCACAAAAAACGTTTCAATATTCCTCCATACTGCTCGTCCAATGTATTCCAAGTTTCCTGAGTGGGTAGCATCCAGAATTTACTCGAAACGAAGTAATTTAGAATGTTTTTAGAGCATAAACAGTAGTGTATAGGATTTCCTGAAAGCGCGCACATGCGCGATCCAGACGCTACGGAAGCCGGCAGACCGAACCAGCGCATTCAGCTCGGCAAAGAACTCATGCTCTTCCTCAACACTGAAGTCCTCAGACATTTTTCTTTCGTTGTTTCTTTCTTTGCACAGGTAAACAGCACATTTCTTCTTCTACGCTTGCATTATTGGAAGAGCAGACACTGAATGCGCACTTTCATCTGGTTTGGTCTGCCGGTGTTGTGTATTAATCTGCACTAATCATAAGATAAAATAAAGTTAATGTTTTATAAGTTTAAAGTTGTTTTCACAAATACTGTTATAAGAGCCATTCAAGGCCAAAAAGGAGAAAAACAGAGCAGTGAGAGTGTGTAACCATTGCACCTGGCCCGAGAGGAGTGGAATCTGCAGGAAAACGCAGGGTTGAGGCCCCATAGTGATAAGAAAGCACACTCATTAAAAATGAAATATTTGACATCTCAAGGTTGCCCAGCTCAGCAAAATTTGGCCATACAACTTGTGATAAATAGAGTTGTTATTTTCAAGGCACACGGAGCGGTAATGGTCCCAGAAAGTGTGATGCTTTGACTGAGAGACGAGGGGGGAGCACTAGGCCAGACTGACATGGCTTGAAGTAAGGAAAGGATGTATTCCACCATGTTTGTGATTAAACTGTCATAAGTTTTTGATTTGAATGCACCAGATGTTTTCATGGCCTGAGAGATTGCTCTCACAAGAATGAGATGTGTCTATGAATGTCACTGTGATTTGCAGATAAATATCAATGTGACCTTTACCAAAGACTGAAATATGTTCTGAAGGGGGTTTTCCACCGATAAGAAATGTATAAAAGGGACCTGTCTTCACCATTTGTTCAGCTCAGGCTCACCGGGGACCAGCTCAGTGTGAATGTGTTGTGTTTAGCAATAAACACACTGGACCCGGACTCAGCTGCCTCTGCCTGAATTTTTTTGATCTTTGTTTGAGACTTTTTCTGCTTTTTAAGAACTTTGAATTTTTATAAAACTTAGCTTCAATTTTAAGTCGTCAAGAAGAGAATTATAGACACAAATTGGCGAGCCAGCTGCAGGAGGAAAGCAAAAAGGGGACGTCGGACGATCTGCAGGCACCAGCTGGAGAGCATGGAACCTCAAGGGCCCATAATTCACCATTGAAGGTGAGTCAATTCGTTATAATGTTCTAAATTAGTGGGGAACCAGCCTCCGGCGACTGCTTGTGGGTGTCAGGCGTCACAAAGCTCTCCTAAAAAGAACCTAGTTTTCCAAATTTAATAAAGTAATTTCCAAATTTGATAAGAATTTATATAAGAGTATATAAAGGCAGATTAAGCTGAGGAAGGGTCCATGTACGTATGAATGTATGTGAATGTATGTTTTAAGTGTTATTAATGTTTGTGTTAAACTGTTCTGTGTTTGAATTATTTTGTAAATAAGTTAAGCTTAACACGTGTTGTTCTGAGCGGATGATTGGTAAAGGGACAGATGGGTCAAAGCGTTTCACATAGTCTGTGGAAGCCATAAATCCGGAACCAATAGTGTACGCGTGTTACGTGAGGGTATCGGTGACTAAGGTAGTCAGTGTGCTCCACGAGACGGCTTAAGTAGTATTAAGGTATTGGAATAAAGGTATTGAGAGGCTAAGCAATAGCCAGGCTAAGGGATAGCCAGAATATTACCGGTTAAGCGATAATCGGAGAATAGTACCGCTCGACCATCCGGAGGACGTCTATGCATTTCCAGTTATCTGGGTGCAGCCGGGGCAGCAGGGAAAAACGTATATGCCACTGTAGGAAACAGTGAGGAAGAGTATATGCCACTGTAGGAAACAGTGAGGAAAAAAGAAGTGCACTGTAAATATATATAATCATTTGTCTTGTGTGTCTGTGTTAGTGTGTCGAGTGAAAGAGTTGAGTAACTGAGGGGAAGTAAGGGGTGGGTGATATTAATAAATAAAGATTATAATATAGATAAAGCTTAAAGATATAATAATAAATTAATAGAAGTAATTAGTACAGAATATAGTTAAAAAGAATAACCTGAAAATTAATAAGGATTGGAAAACAAAATTGATAACTGAAAAAAACACAAGAGTTATGAGAATGAAATAAATTAACAAAATTCCTAAATAAGATTGGAAAAAATTGTAAGCTTTATAAGATAAAGATATTATAAGTATATATTATTGCAAACTATAGTCTACATAAAGTAAAATATATAAGGTATAAAATTAGTGAAAGTGCAAAATAACATTACAAATTTGTTTTATTAAAGATTTTATCTCAAAATTGAAAAGATCTAAATTTAGAAAGTAAATTAACTAGAAAGAAACTAAAAGAAAAATAAACACGATCTGTATTGAAGAGAGCAGAACCAGTTAAGATAAAAATTAACTGAGGATTACAAAGACTGGTGAATAAGCACGGACCTGACGGTTGAGTGACTGCTAGTAGCCATGGGAACGAATATGAGCAAACAACAGTCTGACGGGCTGACGCCAGCCAAATTGGTAATACTGACACACCCATCCAATAAACGCAAAATTCAAAAATGCATGACCAAATGGCATAAGATGACATCTGGGAAAAATCGTTGGCCTAAAGAAGACAGCTTTGATCCTTCATGCTGTGATGAAGTTGAAGAAAGATTGAGAAATAAAGATAAAAAAACGGGACCGGATGCTATTGCATAAAAAACAGAGGCATGCTGAACAGAGAGACATCCTGCAATATTTCAAAGTAGAACACCAAAAGAGCCCAACAGCCCCTGAGTACATTGATCATAAGCCACCACCTTATCACCCTAGCGCAGCAGGTCAGTACCCAGTTGTGATAAAGTCAGGTAGCAAGGGAAAGATTACAGGACAACTTAAATTAGTTTTAGAAGAAGAAGAGGAAGAAACAGAAAAAGAAATGAGTAGCATATGGCAGGGAGAGTATGATTACAGCGGTGACTATGACGGATGGGATAAAACCCCAGAAGTAAGGAGAAAATCTACCCTTAGCCGTTCCCTACCCCCAGTACGTCGCAGACATTTACCATACCCAAGAGGCCCCACTTGCCGCTCAGAGCCTAGGACCAAGTCAACATACAAAGGCCACACAGATCCCAAGATAGAGTTATTTTTGGAAGAAACTGAATCACTGGCAAAAGAGATAAACCAGGACTTGGTGCAACTAACGGAAACATTTGTACGACTCAAGGAGCAAGAGTTGGAAGAGAACGCACAAAATAGACGATTAAAAAATTTAAAGGAGACAATAGAAAAACAAAAAGAGAAGAAAAGACGAGATGAAGAATTGGAAAAATTGAAGAGAATGGAAGCGGAGCAGCTTATAATAGAGGCCAAAACTGATTACCCAGACCTGCCAAGCCCACGGACTTTGTCTCTGATCGAAGAGGCAGGAAGGAGAGGGGGAAAAGACATGGAATATGAGGAAGAGGGAGGTGATGTGTCCGAATGGGAGGACAGTGAAGGCTCAGACATACTGCCAACTACAAACCCATTCCATGAGGGGTTCAAGGAGGAAAGCAGGCCAGCAGCAAAAGAAAGGAAGCCACTCACAGCTGAGTGTGACGTGGGGCTACAAATAGTAAAAAGCGGCCCTAGCCAAATGGTGACCAGGTCCAAAATGCGACAGCAGAAGACAGGACAAGATCAAGGAGGGACCTATATGGCTCCCTTGCTGTCTAAAGGACCTCATGAAGACAGATATGTGCCATGGTCATTTATGGACATGATAACCCTGGCTGGAAGGCTGACCCCATTGGCAGATGGTGCTGACAGATGGATAGAAAAGCTGGAAGAAATCACTGGAGGCATCAATCTGGCAGCTGGAGATATCAAGGCGCTGCTAATTAAAACAGCAGGACACTCAGCGGCCAGAGAGGTGTTTGGCGAAGCCCAGCTTCCAAGGGACATGACCTCACACCAGTATGACAAGATACCATTCAACCAAATAAGACCCAAGGTGTGGGCAGCCTTAACACTAGAAGTCCCAAAGTTTGTATCAAGTATCCCCCCAAAGGTGTTAACGGCTCTCCTCTGGTGCTCCATTTTCAAATCAAATGCAAATGTAGGAATGTGGTTTGGTGACTTCAGCTGGTGTGCTGGGGTTTCTTTGTTAAAGTTGCCTACCTTTGTGTTGTAAATGAGCTTTTTCAAGGAGTTGAGTAATTTACAGAATTTCTGTGGGAATAAATAGAGCAGGCACAGCACACAGACTAAGAATTCACCCGGAATTCACCATGGCACAACCAAGGCGACCAAGAAGGATGAATGCTAAAGAGGCTTTAGCCATGCTTCAGAGCATGCCAGACTACGAATCTAATGGTGGATCTGTTGGAGACTTAGCATTTCAGAATGAAAACGGCGCAACCGATTCTTCAAGTGAAGAGGATGATTCATATGAGAATGTGACTGCTTTTGCACCAGCAAATCCTCCCCTCCAAAGACGCACCAGGGGCCGAGTGGTCAATTATATGATTGAGCGGGACAGTTCAAACACTGAGGCTACATCAGATGAAGAGGAAGACACAGTGCGCGGCAACTCCCCTCCTTGCAAAAAACAAAAAACTGCTGATGTTGGCATAATGCCTGGATCCA